CATTTGTAAACTGAAACTAAGACATCGCATGTTGCTAACTAGTTTACTGTTTTGGCACGGAGTACAATGTAGTATTTCTCTTAGCCATCTCGCATGCGTGTGAATGTTAACATGACAGTATGCTTGCCATGCGGCCTAAATGCTTATGTGTTAAACTGTTTGAATGCCTGTGGGTGAAGGTGGATTGTTGAGTTGGAAAAACTCATTGAAATCCGTGTTTAGCCTACTTGCGAGTAGCAAAATTTAAAGCATTTTCAAAACAAACGGATATGCAATGTTTCTTTCCAAATTATGGCAATCTAGTCTATACTTGTTGCTGCGTGCATAACATAGTAATTCTAGAGCTAATAATTGGAATAAGAACACATAACGTTTTCAAAATCGGATATCATGGTTAGTAGGAGGCCGGTCTTCGGACGGGGCGAAAGGGGGGTGCTCATAGCTGACCTTCCCCGATCGTACCCAAGCTCCCGAGCCGAGACAACTCCGGTGATGACGGACATGTGCCTTCGGCACCGAGTCAGGGTTTCCTAAATTTCCCCATTTTTAAAAATTATTAGGTGGCGACTCTGTATCTGGCAAAGCAGTCATGTTTGGCACTACTTTTTCAAAAATCTGTTTCTCAAAACGATTTGCCAGATTTGGACTCTTTGGTTCAGATTAAGAACCGCGACAACAAAAATCGCGAGTCCGAACTGTAGCAGCGGCGGTCCCCCCTCCACGGGCTGTTACAGTTTTCTCGGGCGACAAGTTCCGAGCATTGCATCATCTGCGCCACCCCGAGGCAGAGGCTGCTGCCACCCTCCTTTCTTTTTTTCTTTCGCATCCTTTTTTCTTTTAATTTTTAGAAAATTCTGTAATAATTTTGATTGTTTTATTGGGACTGTAATATTATTTGGGCCTCCGAGTGAGGGCAAATCTGTAATAGTGGTTGTGGGTGGTGTGTATGTCTTCCAAACCCCACTTCTATTCTTCCCTTTTATTTAACCTGCCTTACGGATGGTAGATTGGGCATGTTTAAATTC